ATTCCCCTTTGAGAGAAAGGCAATTTTGGATATGCTTGTTGTCCAGAAGCGCGTGCGATGATGCAGGGTTCGATGCCCAGCAGCGGCGGCGGCGGCGGCAGCAGCACCACCACCAGCAGCACCACCAGCAGCACCAGCAGCAGCATGAGTAAGCAGATTGATTGAGTAGGCCTGTGTGTTGGGCGCAACTTGGCTTTCTGACCGTCCTGCAGCCGGCCCTCGATGTCCTAGCGAGGAAGGAGCGTGCTGCAATTCATATCATGGTTTTAGGTTGCTTCACTTCCGACCAGTTAGGGATCTTGACAGCTCCACACAGACAGAGACAGACAGACAGACAGAAGGACAGACAGACAAACAGACAGACAGACACTCAAGCAAGCGCGCGAGCAAGCAAACACATCCCGCACACAAACACGCTAGAACACGCAAACATACAGGCAAGCCCGCAAACAAGCGAGCAAGCAAGCAAACAAGCAGGTTGCAAACAAGCAAGCCAACAAACATGGAGTAGACAGGGGCCAGACTCCTTCGAGGATGTCTTCTCAAAGTACACCTGTCATTTTCCATGTTTGGGGATGGCAAGAAGCCTGTCGTTAAATGCCGATTTTGCCGAAGCTTCAACCAACCAAGGCCGGGGGGCATGTGGGGTGGTCCATTGCGCCTCTCAGCGAAGCCTGAGGTGGAAGACGCTGATGCGCAAGGCGAGAGCCCCTGGAAGGGCCATGACCTGTGTTTGGTGGGGGGAACTGCCTCTGATGTTGACCCACGCAACAGTTGAGGCCAGCAAATGCGATTTGACAATCGCAAGACAACTAGTGCGTAAAGCTTGATTGCTCATCAAAGCGCTCGGCCTCATTCACGCGTTGGTGCTGGCTGTATATGTTGGTGTGTATCACTGTTTGTTCTGCGCACATGCCTGTGCATATAGTTGAAGAACGTAGGTAGTCGCGTAGTTGTAGCAGGGAGAAGGTGCATCCGAACTTCTTGCCGCAGCTGTGAGTTTCAAATCCCGCAAGCTGCTCTGCTGGGGCTGTCCTTGCATGATTTGGGCCCCCTGAATCTCAGCGGGCACCTTTGTTTGCTGCCTTTCTAAGTCAAGACCCTTTGGATGCAACGGCAGAGGGCAGCAGACTCTCAGGACTCCGCGAAGGGCGCGGTGGAGCTCTTAATCCAGCGTTGGGCACGTGGCGCAGATGCAGGTGGGCCTGCCAAATTTGCATCCCCAGCGAGCACTTGTGGCAAGTCAGATATTGTTCCCGTGTCACCTGCTCGCTGATTTGTTTGCGTCTTTTTGTGCACTTTCTTGGTGAATCTGCATGGTGCTACATCTCTCCCTCCCTCCCTCCCTCCCTCCCTCCCTCCCTCCCTCCCTCCCTCCTTCCCTCCCTCGATTGGACACTCACTTAACCCACCCACCCATGCACGCACAGGGGTCTTTTCATGTGCTGCTTCCTGATTGGTTTTGCTTTGCGCTTCCCTCACCGTTGTTTCTACGCAGGACTCCTCGCGGAGATTCTCTCGGTGTCAGGGGCCCAACAACTGCATGGTTATGGAGCATCAGGGAAATCGGGGAAGGGACAGCGGCACGGCCTGCACTGCACATACATAGTGTGGCATGTTTTAGTAGACGCATGCCGTGGACCAAGAGCCCACACAGACTTGAGCTGTCATGAGAGTTCAGGTCACTCTTAGTCGGGTTTCTGGATGGAGGCGGCGCAGGCCTTTTTAAACTTGGAAAGCAACTGCTTTGTGCGACCCTGTGGCACAATGCCATGAGGTGCTTTGCAATCAGATGCAAGAGCATGACGTAGGCCTAGGGGAACGCTACCTTTGAAGCTGGCAATCGCGTGCGATCCGCCCCCTTTGGCACCTGCCCAGGTGGAGGCAACTTTGCAAAGAGCGAAAGGCAGCAGTGAGCCTGGCACGGAATTTGGCATGAGCATGTATTTACATCGGCCGCGGCTCGCTACTTGCGATTTTTGCCAGTGTTTGCTTCCGGCTTTCTTTCTTTTTCTCGGGGGAAGGGGTTGGTATATAAGGGACCTCACAATCCAGATGCGTTGAAGCATTCGTCACTGCTTGATTGGTGTGTAAATAGGTGTTGCAGCCAAAAAAAACAAAGAAAAATGCCAGACTTGTCCATTGGCCTGCTCGCCAGTCCAAGCGCGATCGGGCTCATGAAGCTGTTATGATGATGCGGCCGCCTTGGGCACTGCGTGGATCGGGAGCTTGGAGGGAGACTCCAAAGGGCATTCTTTGCTGCGCATGCTCCGCTGAGAAGCGACACTGCTAGTTTGGCCTCAGCTCAGCACAGTGAAATATTTGTTGCTTGGCTATTTTTGCAGATGTTGATAGCACAGCACCCATGATCCAGATTCAAGGTGGCCTCAACAGCAAAGTTTGATGTGATCAATGCCGGCTTAGCAGAGCCGACCCGAGGGCTCTGTGTGATTCCCCCATGGTCGACCAAGGTACCAATGTCAATTGTCAAACCATGAGTATGGTTCAATGGGCACTGGTGACCTTGGAACATACAGTGAGGTCCTCCAAAAGCAAATAATTAGGCTGGTTGCGCTTTCTCTTGTACCCGGGTACCACTCAAGACCCGCGAGCAGAGACCATTTGCCTAAAGCCTGCACGGTTGGAGATACTTGGCACCTGCTCGGATTTGAAGAGCCAGACGCATCCGACACCCAAAGCCAACAATTTCCTGGCACAGGCCTGTGGCATTAAACCCGGCCCAAGCACGCCAAAACGATATCGGTTGGTCGGCGTGCTGCGTCTGAAAACGACGACTGGGGACCCCCAGGCTGCACCAGTGGCGCCGCCCCGGTGCTCAGGGCATGGCCGTCGGGATGCCCGGAACTGGACACAAACCGCGGACACGGACAGGCACCGCAGGCCTGAAACTTTGGCATTGGGCACTTCTCCTTGGCATCCCCTCGCCATCACGGCTTGGTTGCCTAGCCATGAGTGAGTTTGATGCAAGCCAAAACGGGAACTTTGCCGATTCTTCGAACTTCATGCCTTTCTCGCAGAGGGCTGCTGCTGCTCAAGAATAGGGACATTCTTTCAGCCGTGTCAATACCATTGTATTCCACAGTCAGTGCTGAGAGCCATCTTCTGATCCCAGCATCGCCCCAAAGAAATTAAAGTTTCCGTTTGTAGATTGCCCAGATCGTTTTAAGGGCGCTGTGCTCGCCACCATAAACCGAGCCTCGACCTAGGCCTGCGCTCTTTCGCTCTGGGGCCGTCTGGCGCTGAAGAGCCGAGGCTCGGCAGTTCCGCTCTGAGGGTAAGGACCTTTAAACACTTTTGTCGCCTTCCGTCGCCTTCCGTCAGGACATGGCGCGGCTGAGCAAATGTGTTCTGCTAGGACGTTGAACAATCTGGACAAGCAAGTGCTGAGCTGAAATCGTGCTCAGTTTGTCAGGGTTTTGGGGGCATTGGGAACCCTGTGGTTTGGTACCATGCGGGGGCTTTTTCCTAATCAGTGGCACAGCAGCAATCATAGGCAAATGCAGCACCCTGCATGGCAACGAGGGCCACCGTTACACTTTCTTGTCCAGGTGTTCGACCATTTGGCCACGCAGGTCGGGCAAAGGCACTGAAGGCTGTGGAGCAGGAGTCTCAGCTTGGCTTCGTTGATCTTGGTGCCGGCGTGCATGCCAAAACATGAGCCCATCCCCTTTGCTTGCACGCATGCAGGCGCCATCCGCTGTCCGACCTCTGCCTTAACTGTGCCGTTCTCTCTAGTTCAAGTGGTGTAGTCAAGCACGGCCCAGCTTCAGCCATGGCTGCCCGAATCCTTCAACCCGCCCTTCGGCAATTTTCCTTCGCTCGCGCGAGCCCGGCCCTTCGTGGGCTTCCAGGCGGCCTGCCGTGCAGGTGGTTCAGCACAGGCGGGCTGGCGAAATCGGGCGCCAGTATCCATGCAGTGGACCACACATGAACCTCCTTTGTCAGAGGGGCTTCACGTGCAAGTTAGATGTCTGAAGGATGTCCGTTAGATCCACTAAGGAGATTTAGCACCCGCGTTGCACACATTGGCCCGCTTGTGCAGTTAGGCTCCGCCGAGCTGCAGCGAGTCATTGCAGCAGTGGAGCGTTACAAGATGGCCCGGAAGGACGACCTCCTTCGAGACGCAGACAGCCCCACGGCAGACCGGGAGGAGACCATGGCCCAAATTGTTGGCACGAACAGACCCTAATTTCTGCACCCTTCAACAGGCAACCAAAAGGATCTCGGTTAAACGGCAATTGTTTCCACATGCTCAAACTGGCGCTTGGCCCCCAGGAGACCTTGAAGGCCTTGGACTCGGCGATCACTGGCGAGACCAAGTGGGACGAGCTGAAGTTCGATGACATCGACCGGGTCGAAGTCCTTTTGGAGGTTGAGGACGAGTTCAACCATGTCATACCAGATGCGGATGCGGACAAGATCAGCTCAGTGCCTGACATCATGGAGTACCTGGACAAGAACGGAGTGAAGTGATGGTGCCAGCCCTGAGACCGATTTTGCTGAGGAATCCCGAAGCCATACAATGACATCACAGAGGCAGCACTGAATGAGTGAATTCAGTTGCTCAAGCCCATCTGTGGCCAAAAGAGCTTACCTGAGATCAGCAGGCCCCCGTCAAGGGCAAACCGGTGCATAGATGCAAAAGTAATGCCGTCAGCCTTCAGGCGTTTGCGAGGGTCGCGGCAGTACCTGCAGAAACCTTGCTGTTTGCTTTTCTCCGCATTGAAGACCGAGTTGTTACAGCTAGCTGCTCAGCGCAGTTCACTCGCAAGAGAGACATGTAATGCCATTTTAAAATTCAGAAGGAACCATGCGAATTTGATGCGGACAGCCAAGACTACGGGACCAGTTTCGCACGCTTGCCAGGCTTGGCCCTTCAAAGGTGAGCAGCTGCCAAGTTGTTACCACGGTTTCCTTGAAACATTCAGATGAAGGCATTCAGCAATGTCAGCCCTTTTCTTGGCCTGAGCGTAGGTCAACATGGCAAGTTCTGAGTAAGGACTGTCGACAATCGAAATAAGTCATGTTTCTCGGCCGGTCATATGACTCATTGTATGACTCATGGATTTCCTATTGCTTGTGGAGGATTCATGTTTGATGTTTTCCCTGGTGGCACGTTGAATTGAAGGAAGCAAGGATTGCTTCGAATGCCTGTTTCTCCTAAACGAATTGAGCCCCAAAGGCCACCACGATCCCAAAAACCCTTCACACCACGCACAGGAGAGTGACTCGGGTCCACGGTTTTCGGCACAAACTTGGCGCCAACGCAACACATGGTTGATAGCCTGAAAGGCTTTGGGGTGGGTGATGCTTCAAGTTCACTTCCCTCGGTGCGATAAGCTCCCCCTTTTCTGGTACAGACCTCTTTTTTGGCATATTGTGCCCCCGAAGGCAGCAGGTCTACCCTGTAAGGTCCTGTTTGAGTCGTGTCAGGGCGTTTTATCTCGGACTCCTGGGTTGAAAGAATGAACGAACATTGAACAAAAAGCCTAAAAAGCAGATGCATAGTTGGATTGCAACCCCCCTTTGAAGAACTGCCAAAAGTCGTCTTGCGGCCAAGGTCCCAGATTGCGAGGTACTTGCTTGGCAAGGCCGGGGCGCTGCGGGCGGCAGTCGGGGTCCTAAAAAGGAAGGCGAGAGGAAGGCCGAGAGTCGACCCCCCCTTCAGCGTGGAACTCCGGTGAGGGGAGGAAGGACCACCTTGTTGGGGCTTCAGTACAGGGAGTTTACACGCATCGACTGAGGCGGTTGGCGTGATCGTTAAACCGTTCAGTTTCCCAGTTGAACATAATTTTCTTGGGGCACTGGGACGGACACCCTGCACCAACCAATTGCAAGTTTCACATTTGCATGCTGCATGCCCTTGTCCAGCTGAATGATGGCATGCTTCCGTCGGCGCATGCTAAGGTGGTCAGCTCATGGCGGCAGGCTAGGTATGCCGCAGTTTGCCTTGTACCCTGCTGCCAAGGGCGGGCAATCGCTCAAATTCACCGAGCAAAGGTAATGCTTTGACTTCAAGAGAAAGCGTCCGTGGGCGTTTTCAGCGTTTTCATCCCCCACACCTCGAACCCCTTGTCACGGGCCCTTGCCCAAAAGCCCCACGCGTTCTCAGGCGGCAAAGCGAAGCCACGCCCGTGCCTCCGTGGAACTGGTGATGCGGCAGCCAAAGGCCCAGTGGCCAACGCAGGGCTGAACTCGTTGCGCAGTGGAAAACATGGAGGGGGTCATCGACTGAAAGGCCCCAGGCGGATGGTTGGTTTCCTGAAACAAAAGACAACCTTGATTCCAGATAGTCCGGCAACACGCTGCACGCCCATGACATGCGGATTCAATTGAAACATGGGGGCCAGGAGCAATTCTGGCATTCACTTTTCGCGAATCTCAGCATGCAGTCGGTTGCATGCCGAACTTTGAGCAATGGGCCTATGGTCCAAAGTGCTATGGATGGCAGCAAGCAGCTGGCCTCATGGATGGCTGAGGTGGGACAAAGGCAAGCTCGCTGGGATCGCCTCTGCTGCACAGCGCCGAGGGGAGGCAAAGAAGCTGGTCTGTAAAAATCACTTTTGTCACAAGAGGCGACTAGAATATATAAACAATGTAGGGCAATAGGCCAAGAGTGGCCAACGCGGAATTTGCTTGATGGGAGGGTTTTGCTTGAATAGTGGTTCGTTGGCTTCTTGTGAACCCACCCTTGTCGCTCAGAGACAGCCAGACCCATGGCACAGAAAACCAGCTGCAAAGTCCCGTCGCCTCTGCCCAGGCCCTGTCAGAGTGGCGCAAGGCAGGCGGAGAGCATCCCTGGGCCCGCAAATTTCACACATGTGTCGGGCTGGTTGGACAATTGGGGGGCAAGGCTGATGGCATGCTCATCCCAGACAAGACCAACTTTCGGACCTGAACAGTTCGCATCCCCTGCATGTTTTGCCAGCGTCAAGGCAGCAAGACCAAATGCGGAGAGCTGGAGTCCCACCCAACACTGGAAAAGCAAAAGCAGCGACCGCATCATTCGGGCACTTCCTTTGCAGGTGGCTTGTTTGATTGAAGCTGCCATCACCACAGACAGCGACCCTTTTGGGACGCTTGAGGATGTTTTGGTTCTTTGACAGGATTCAGTTAAACCCAACTTTCGCAGAGAAGTCCGCTTTAGTGCAAGGTTCCCAAAGAGACACGCCCAATTGACACAGAAAAGGAGAAGAATCTCAAATTGGTGGATTGTTGGGTTCGATGTTAGTCTGCAGCAGACAGGAATCGGCTGGAAAAGATGATTCTCGACATGGCCAAAATGCATCCTTTCAACTACCCTGCTTTGGAGCTTAAGTGGCTGGGTATCTTAATCGCCGGGGAGCAGAAGGTACACCTCCGGAGGACCACACGCTTGAAAGCAACCATCATTGGCTGGTTGACAATGATTTCCCGGGGGCCTGGGAGTTTTGACAGATCGCCAATTGCACATGGAGGACAACGCCCTCAAAAGAGAATAACTAAGTCTTGAGAATGTTTGCACATAGGCTTCTGAGGCCCTTGCATGGACTTCATATGCATGGCCCTTGTCCGCTAGCGCGCGCTGGGCCCAATATTCTTCTTTTTGCGCGAGCTGCGCATGCCCGACTTACCGAGCTGCCTGCAAAAGCACGCAGTCCGCTAAGTTGGTAGCGCTGATGGACCTGATCACGGTGGCATGGGTTCCGCTAGCTTCTTTGGCTTGAACTTGCCGCCCTGGTCGAATGCTGGCAAGCGCTCCGCAGCATCCCGGGATGACGGCTCGCCACAAAAGCCAAGGCCACATCATCCCGATGTACATCGGATGTCCGGTGCAACGCCCACACCTTCTGCACCTAGACCCGATCTTCATGATCTGGCGAGGGGCGATGACCCCCAATGCGCGGCTTGTGACGCCGCGGATTACTGGGTCGAGGCACTTGGCGGAAGTATGGAGCTTCACATGCACTTCCCCGACCCGATCTTCAAGGATGGTAGATTGCCACCACCGCACACCACGGCCAACCCCCAGCCGCCTCGACGCGCCCTCATTGGCCGGTTGCAACCTGACGCTGCCCCATGTTGACCAACAAGCTGCCAAGCTGAAGATTGGTCAGAGCTATGGGACTTCAGGCTGATCTCCAAGATGACCCCGAAGCGAAGGCCTCACTCCGATCAACCTCTTCAAGCCGGAAGGCCGATAAAGGGATTGAAGTACACCGCTTCCTCCGGTTTGGCAACACGACAAGGCAGACCTCCGGAGTGGAGGAAACAGACACCGGCGAAAGGAGACGTGGATCCTCCTGCGCAACTCCTTGCGTGGCGAGCTGGAGGAGGAACTTGAAGTTGCTAACATCAGCCAGATCTATCGCCCCGATGGAGTGCAGTTCATCATCAACGCTCTCAGCCGCGCCATTGACGCGCACGGCCCGCCGCGAGTACGAACATCAATTTGATTCTTCCAGCCATCTTCTCCACGAGGATGTTGGCGCTTGCCAGTGCCCTTTCAAAGCCTCATCCCTTCGGGCGACACGGTGGAACAGCAGGTGACGGATGGCAACTACTTCATGTTGGAGAATCCGGCGCCGACTATGGGAACCGCAGGAGGTGCACGAGTGCACTTCCACGTGGACGCCGCGGATGCAGTTTCAGCCAGGCTTGGAAGCAAGATGCTCGAGTGCTGCAATCCTTTGCTGGGCCAGGAACTTCGCCGAAGCGCCAACTACCCTGACGCCCTCGTCAAGAGCATTCTGCAGGCGATCTGAGTGACGCGCCGTCCTCCACGCTTCTTGAAGGCCACCGAAAAATATGTTGCTGCCAGCGGCTTGGGCAGAGGTTCTACACTTAGCCCAGAGAGCTTCGGCGTCAGACTCCACGAGAGGCATCTACCATATTGTTAATTACTTCCTTGAGACATCAGCTATACTCACTGTGCCACAGGGACATCGAGGTCGAGCATGAGGCATTGGATGGCCTCCGCTAGCAGCGCTTCAGAAAGCCCGTCGCCCGCGGCGTGTTCTGGTTTGGGAGCGCGGACCCTCAACCTCAACCACCGCAACCACTAGTAGAACAACCAGCGTCGCCAGAAGAACCTCAGCCGCAACAGAGCGCGGCGCACGGCAGATCTGCCCACATGGCCGTCTTCGCCCAGATCCTTGCCTTTCAGGTGGACTTTGGGCAGCTTGTTGAGAACCGAGGCCGTCAAGCCCATTGCGGAGATCAACGTGCCACAGGCACTTCGCCGAGCACTTCTTCGCAAAACAGCAGCCTCGCCGGACCTTCTGCGCCTACTGGCGATGATCCCAACGACCCGGACGGACGCTCAGCCTGGTCTCACTCGCGTACTCCGACACAGGTGTCACTTGAGCAGATGAGAACAGCAATCGCCGCCAACATCCAGAAGGATCTCTGGGCTTTACCACACAAAACCACCGCCGGCGAGAACCGCTACAACAAAGCACCAGCAAGGAACACCACCATCGCACGACCGCCAACCTCAAAACAGGCAACTGGCACCTTTCGGTATCACAAGCAGCGCCGCCGCAACAGCAACCAAGCGTATCCCGTTTTGAGATGACACGGCAAGACCGGGCTCGCTACGTCCCACTACGACCGACCGCAGACACCACCTGAGCTACAGGCAACCAGCAGCAACACACCGGCAGCGTCACACGCAGCCAGCCACGAAAATCCACAACCGCCGGTTTGCGGCGACGCCGCGCCGCGACCGAGACCAACAACAACAGCAATCAGACCCATACGAACCTATGGCCCGGCCCTGCAATGGTGCAGCTACCACAAAAGCGACCGCACGCGGCAATGAGCCACCACTGGATCCATTCAGCGGCTCAGCAGCCAAACGAGACCCGAACAGCAGCCTGCCTCACCAACCGTGGCAAGGAGACAACAACTGCCAACTCTAGGCTGCGACGTCAGCGTCGACCAGGCCTACTTCACCAACATCACCTCTGCGAATGGCCCAACACCGGTTCCAGGTGTTGGACAGCCGCTCGCTGTTTGATGGAATAGCACCTGGGAGCCCGCTGGTTCTTGAGAAGCGTACTTTGTTGAGCATCTGCAGCACCCAGGAGTGCATCAATTTTGACACCTGGTTTTGGGTGCCAACTCACCTGCAATATGGGCCGGGTTTGACGAGTGTCACCAACAGCCTTCACAAGACCTTCAGCGACTGGCTCGGGTGCCCTACATCGTCTTGAGAGCCGGGCCCTCCAACGCAGAATTAACAATGAAGAGTGTTTGCACATAGGCTTCTGAAGCCCTTGCATATGCATGACCCTTGTCCTCTAGCGCGCGCTTCTTTCGCGCGAGCTGCGCATGCCCGACATACCGAGCTGGCGGCAAAAGCACGCAGCATCAGCCCGCTAAGAGGTCTATCCTACGTTTGACACATGGCCAAGGCGAACATTCCTCGAAAGAAAGTTGCAAGGCTGCTGCCTTGGCAAGCCTGCCAAGCTTACCCTGCAACGCTTGCAAGTCCACTGCCTGTCCCCCAAACTGCAATCATTGCAAAGCAGCCTCCTTGCAACTCCACCAGGCAGGGCATAAAGCTGCAGCCCTTGGAAGCCTGCCAAGTTGGCAACCCTGCAACGCTTGCAAGTCCACTTCCTGTCGCCCTTGCAAGCCTGCCAAGTTTGCAACCCCGCAACGCTTGCAAGTCGACTGCTTGTCTCCCAAATTGCAATCCTTGCAAAGCAGCCTCCTTGCAACTCCACTGCCAGGCAGGTCTGCCAAACTGCAGCCCTTGCAAAGTTGCAAGGTCTGTGAAGCGTGTTGGACACTGGACTGTTAGCCTGTTAGCCTGTTAGCCTGTAATCCTTCCCCACTTAGGGAGCAGATGTTGTCTGCCTTTGTGTATCATAGTTCGTTTCCAAGCATTCCCGCGGTGGATTGAAGGGTGACCACCCTTCCGCTGCAATTGAAATGTGCTGGTGCCGGTGTGCAACCGATACGTGAGGGCGATGATTGCTTGACATTGTGAGCCAATGTCACGTGCATCCTATCTCTCTAGCGTCATTCCGCACCCGCAAGCATGCCAGACTCATTTCCGGACTTCCTTTTTGTTTGGATCGGTTTGCAGTGACTGGTGAAGGCACAGATCCAATTTGAGCGTCTGAGCTGGCTCTATACAAGAGCAGTTTCTTTCTTATTGTCCACTCGCCACGCACGCTACCGTCGTCGGGAGGCGCAGAGACGGCAGAAGGCCCATGCTTCGGTGGAGTTGCTTCTGCGCCAGCGGGGGGGCTCAGGCAGCGGCAGACCTTGGGCCGGGTGTGAAAAGCGGGTGTGTGTCAAAAATCGATATAATACAATTTTGTTTTTCACCAGCCTGAAAAGGGACCAACAAAAGCCGTGATTTTAGCTCAGAGTTGGACTCCAGCGGGCCCAAAAGTGCAGGGCGAAACAGAATCGTCAACATTCAAATCGGAAGCAGACGCGTGGCCCCCACAGAGGTGGTAATCATGGGGGCACTGCCCCCCAAACAACGTGGAAATGTGTATGCCAAGCTTCCGAGCAGCTTCTCCAACCCATCCTGCCGGCGTTTGTGAAGGTTAAACGGCCGACTGCCCCGCGGTTTTGTGTTTGGCAGGCGGGGGAGTTTCAACAGAGTTCATGCTCAGAAGGGGCTGGATAACCATGAGCAAACCTGAGGGAATGGCCGTGCGTGGGAACAAAAACGCAATCCTAACCAATGGCCACAGAAGACTGTGCTGGCCATTTCTGCCTGGATCGAATGAACCGTTGGATCCCTTTTTCTTCCTGATTCCTACCAGCCTGGCCGCTCTGAGGTGGGAGCAGGGCATGTCCAAAGGACTGCAGACCACCGCCTGGCGCTCGGTTGAGGCCAACTTAGGCACCTTGGTGTGTCTTGGTGGGGAAGAGAAGCCAAGAAGAAACCAATATTTTGGGATGTTTTTGGGCTTCCCCATTTTGAAACGAAGGCACCTTTTCAGCCGAGACGGAAATGCAAAAGCTCCCTTGCCGGGGCTTCAGATTTCTGCGCTTTGTTTTTGCAGTTTTCCGGCTAGACGATGTTTGAATGCCGAGCCATCACATTGGTTCCCTCATCAGCTTTGGTGAGGCCTTCGGACATGCCAGGCATTTTTTCCTCCCTCGCTTCAACCACCAGTACCCCTCTTCACCATCATCCGCTGCTATGTCTTCTCCAGGTTTGAGATCTAGCACTTACAAGTAGGCCAGTGGCATGCCTCTGCCAGGAGTCCGTCGGCGCGTCCTGCCAGTGCAGAACACCCCAATTAGCAAAGCATCACGAGCTACTGTCGCTGTTGGTTTCGGACAGCAGTATTGTGGATGTGCAGAGGGTGGCTTCAGCAAGGGCACCAGTTTCTTGATGCACGGGGGGAACGAGAGGCCTCGTGGTAGTTGGTGCGCTCTTTGTTCGGGCTCGCATGGGCTCGCATGGCTCGCCATGGGATGCTGATGATGCTGGGGGTGGCAAAAAAGCTGGATCCGGTGTGTTGTTGAAAATATTCTTTGGGCTTGGCTGGGCGGGAGCGCCTGAGGTTACCAGCTTACTTTGGAATGGGTCAGGGAGGGGGGAGGTACGGGACCTCGGACGGGCAGCGCAGAGTCTCGCTCGAGTTGTGTAATCGCGACAGCTGTGTATAGCTCCCAAAAAGCCCTCCCATGAAGTCACCCGTAGACTCAGCCTCCCAGGTCCTTGGTGAATGGCAGCGTGGCACCTGGATGGGCTTGGAAGTTGCGTGAACTGAATTCTGGAGTGAGCACGTGGCCACAAACTACGCAGCACGTGGCCACAAACTACGCATAAATTAGCTGGGTTGCTTAACTGCTAGCTGGTTTGCCGCTTCATACCTCAGAGCAGACGATCTTAAAATAGCAAACCAATCTGCTGGTCCAAAACTAGAAGTGAAGGCGACGCTGGGTAAGCTGTTCGTAAGCCAAGCTCACTCACGTATGCCTTATGCAATGAAGAGTTCGTGACTACGCTTTTGGTACTCGTGCAGCCATTTGTGACAGCGGTTGGTGCTAGCGCGCCCGCCCAGAACCTCTCTACCCGCACCCTTGGCTGCACTTTGGTCCTGTGAGGGTGGGTTGTGCCGAGGGTGGGTTGTGCAATGCGGCATGCAATGGCAGCCTCCCAGGTGCTCATCACATATTCTATCACCATGGCGTTGATTGCTGAGATCCTTGCTAACAACTCCGGCCGGGGCCACAGGCTTGCTTGCTTCTCGCGGTTATTGTCGTGTTCTGTGTGTGTGTGTGTGTTCTTGATGACTTGGGCATGTCAAGGCCAGGGGTGCCAAGGGAGTGGCAAGAACAGCCATTTGGGGCGATCCTCACTTGAGAGGCAATAGGTGAACGGTGAACCACAAATGGTCACTTTTGGGGCAACGGAGAACCTGTGCTTCGATCAGGTCTGCCCAAGCTTGGAGATGTGCGCCACCACTTCGAGATCCGTGTTCCTGCCGCCTGTCTGACCTTTGCCGCTTTGGGTTCTTCAGGTTTTGACTTTTTCCAATGCACGGCTTTGAGTTTTGATTAGTTTTGATCCATTTCTACGCTACGCCTGGCCATTTGGGTGCCGAGCGGTTTTGGACACCCCCAGCAAACTGGGGCGGTAGCATTGGCACCTGCTGTTGCCAGAATTCGGCTGGCCTTGGCACTTTTCCAAAGGGCTTACATTGCGGCGCTGCCCCAGTGATGAGGTTGTGTCATGCTCGCGCGAGTCTATCAGCCGTGATGATCCACGAAACAGCCACTGTTGAGATTCTCCTGCACCCTTCTGAACACAAGAAAACTGCTGTGTCTCTCTTGTCTTTGTTGTGGAAGCCAAATGAAAATCAGGGTTGCTCTGGCCAATTGGTCTACCGTCCTTTGGTTTCTCTTTGGCCAGTCGAGGGAGCAACTTTGGCCTTGTTTGGGTTGCGCCCTTTTGAAGGGAGCAAGATCCTGACCACCTGGAAAAGTCGCCGTTAGGAACACGCCCAAGTCTCAAGAGATGACCAAAGTCGATTCAAAGGCTGACATTGGATGTGAGCCATGCCAGGTTTGCTACCTTCAACATGGTCGCAGAAAACAACCTGTCAGAGGAGGGTTCAAATTGGTTTGCTGGTCAGACAGGCTTGAGTGAATGTGCCGGTGCGATGTGCTGTGCAACTCAGGTTGGTGTTGGGGTTGTTGACCCCGTTGTTGTTGTTGCCACTCGGATGCACGTAGCTGCTGCATGCTGTGGTCACCATGGCTCATCATGGCATGCTTCCTGTGCCGTGCATTGGCTGCGAACAAGCGTTTGACTGCAGGTTGGTGTTGTTGTCGTCTAATGCAACAGCGGGACTCACGTCTTCGAGCTGTACCACAAGATGGGAAAAGATACATCGGTGACAAGACTCTGCAACTGGCATGCAAGTGATACCTGGGGGTGGCAAAACAACTTGGCTTGTATGTAGTCCGCAAGTTTTGTACGAGTGGACACTGGACGGATGATACTTCAAGTAGCATTTGGCTCAAGCCCGCAGCCGTGTCAGACGACATGTCTCTGGAGTCAGCGCTGCTCCCTGATTGCGAGGCACCGGGGGCAACACCGCATTCGGAACCTCAGTTGGGCAGCCGCCATGTCCAGAAGTCCTGCATTGCGGCGAGCTCACGCAGGGTACAATTGTACATGATCGCTGTACTAGGCCTATTAAGCATGGCGGTGGCTTTCAAATGTCTATCCCCGAAGCCCATGAACAATCTGATCAAACTCTTCGAACGAGCAGATCGGGTCGTTGTGGTAGATGGCCAGCATTATCATTCCGTGCAGTACTTTGGCTTTAGCTTGTTCACCGCACCGGGGACTGCGGCAGATGGTTGCTTCCAGGAGGGCACTGATATTGACCAATGTTACTTGGGAAGCAGCGTGGTGCAGGAAGACCTTGCCAAGAGAACAAGCATCATGCTGGAAGCCATCGATCGTTTGTTTGCCTCGGACATTTGGGATCGCAGCACTTCCACTTTGAAGATCTTCATGCTCCCCGAGTTTTACTGGCGAGGCCCGCAGGGAGCTTATCGAATGGACCACGGCTTGGAGCAAGCTGCCACCCCAGCGGCACATTGGCTTGATCAAAAATTCAGTGAGGATCGCTTCAAGCACTGGCTGATCGTGGATGGCACAGTCATCCTGGCCAAGAGTGCGGATGCAGACTACGTGCAAGTGTCTCAGCGCCCATCCGAGAATATCAGTTACTACAACTTTGCACCGGTCCATGTCGGCGGGACTAACTTGACCTTTCTGAGGCTTCTTGGATTGATATTTGAGTTGACATTCCTGTTGAGCTCATTTTGCACCGCAAGGCGCCCATCACGCGAACTAGGAAAGAAGGGAGAGGCACGGTCTCTGTCCCAAAAGGCCCCAAACAAGAGTTTGCCGTTTGATGCCGTTTTACCTTTATTTTCTGAAACAGCCAAGGCGAAAACAACGGGCCAGTACCTACAGTCCTCAGTAGATTGCGGCCCCGATGGATCTCACGCTTTTATGGAACTGACCAACATTTTCCATGCATAGGATGGGTTGCATGATCTGAGGTTCAAGCAATTCATTAGCAGCATGGACTTTCTTCATGCCAATGTCACGAGCGGCAAGCGGGTGATTCCGGCGCCTCCGCCACATGCTTGGTGCTTGCAGCACCCGCAGTCCAGTGGGTGTGTTCCGAGAGCCAAAGTTCAGCCTTAAGTTTTGTTTGCGTTGGTGGGCGAGGACCCCTGTGGCAGAAAAGCACTCGGACGTTGAACGTCACTGCATTTATTTCTCGCTGATTTGTTCAACTGAGCTTCCATAAATATGAATGCTGCGGCGAGCGAAGTTATGTTTGTCTTTTTCTGCTCATGATGCAGCTGGTCAGTGATGGACAATGAGCGTGAGCTGGGTAACAAGTTCTCCTTTCAGAATCCCAAACGCAAAGCACCACATGAGTATTGTGTGCGAGATGTTTGGTTCGGATTTTGACTTTTTGGAGGTGTGCATCGTAGGCCTATCATCGCTTGCCCGACGATCTTTTGGCGGAGCTGGGCTTTGGCCGCGACATCGTCCTGCCCAGCGGCCTGCTGAAGATCGGGGGCCTCCGCATTGGCCTGGAGATTTGTTTGGACCATGCGCTGGGGGAGCTCTGCAACAATGAGCTGAAGTCGTGGGAGACGGTAGATGTTCAGCTGATCGTCTCGGAGGGCATGAACGTAGGCACTGGCCCAGTGTGCACCGCAGCTGGAGGTCCAGTCTTCCTTGCGGATGGATTCGCACGGACGGAGGTCAGCTTGAACGACTTTGGCCACGGCCGGCAGAGTGCCAGAACGCCGCAGAATCAGGCCCGCTTCGACGTGGGAGTGGAGTATGGCGCAGATGTCATGGTGTCCATGAAGCAATGGCTGGGGGACGGCATTTCTAGCCTCACAGGCCACGGATTCGGAGCAGACTTTCCCGGCGTGAGCAACATGCCCGGTGACAGTGGCGTGAAATTTCGGCAAATCTCGGCTCTTGGCGATGACTGGGAGCAGAAGCCTCTCAGCTGCACCATTTAGCACAACCTGTTTGCCAAGTCAGCGCATCACGTTTGCCCAGACCCCCTTCAGCCCCCCAAAGTGTGTGGCATTGGGCTCAGGTTGAAGGGCTACTACAACACCGGCAGCTATGTCAGAGCGGGGAAGGCGGAGGTAGCCTTGGAGAAGGTTTTGCCTGGTGGCCCGGGATCGTTCGTACCAAACATTTTCCCCACGGTGGATGTCTCAGGGCAAGACTTAGCTCACATTTTGCCAATGTTTTTTCAGTTTCCGTCACTTCCCCTTTGGACGGCTGAAGGTTGCCTCAATTTGATGAGGGATTTTAAGTCCAGACCAGGCCTATGGGCCCTTCCGGGTGCCTGATGCATTTTTCTCAAGGCGCGGTCCAGCCTGACTTGCCTCAAAGGAGCTTGGCACAGCTATGGCACAGCTCACACGAAGGAAATGCAACTTGCTTGCAGTGATTTTGTTCCGCATCAGCGTCTGGAGGGCGCTGCCGCGAGTTAGAAGCCAACATGTCATAGGTGTGTCGCACCGAATTAAAGAAGGCAGTGCCGCCTTCAGTATGATATGGATTGGCGTCTTGGCCTTCAAGAGGTTCAAGTTGGTTTTGCGGCTGCACGACAGGCAGAGGGCCGACGTGCAGCAACTGTACAGCAGATGCTTGCTGGTGCTTGAAAGCTTATTGACATGCATATTTTTTTCTGGTTCACCAATGCGAAAGCTGAAGCACCAGCCTACCGAAGCAAGCGGGGAACCCGCGCAAGTGGAACAGTTCGACATTTGTCTCCTTGTTAAAAGTTGGTCCCATCTTCCAGGCCCAACAGTATCAAGCAGTGCTTTGGACTGGGGCCTGAAGGGGAGTTGTTGATACAGAATACATATATATATATATAATAATAATCATAATAATAATAATAATAATAATAATAATAATAATAATAATAATAATAAATAATACATAATAAATAATAATAAATAATAATAAATAATAATAAATAATAATAATAATAATAATTATATATATATCTTTCTATACACACATATACTTTCATTGAAGCCACCCAGAAGGAGCAAGGAGCTCGTTATGCTGTCTTTTCTGTGGGTGAGCTCAGGTATGCCAAGAAAGCCGAGCAAGGGCAAGGCTGGATTGAGGTAGGCAACAGCTGCGTATTGACGATTGAGGTGGATCATTCAGATCATTTGTTTGGCTGTCTTTCTTTGTGGTAGACTTGACCGCGTGCAAGAGAGAGCACGGCCACCTGCTCAAACTGCCTTCCGCCTTGCAGTTGCCCAGACGTGCTCGGCGAAGCTTGGAAGATCGGCTTCTTGACTGGCAATCGGTGTTTGGACAAGTGGGATGTGATAGTGAACTTCAGTATTCCAGACCTGCCTTTTGTCATCCCCAGCTGTACTCGTACTCGTCATTGTGCCAGGTTCTAAGAGGGATTCCACTACTAATACTCCCAAAACACTACCCCCAAAAGGCAAGGATATACCACTATCACGACAACAGCAAACATCTATCTGTACACATATATATATATACATTAAAAGCAAACATGCATCGCACCAAAGCCTTCTGAGTCACCATCCCAAATGTCACAGCATGCAGCGGAGAGTGCAGCGTTGGGAGAAGAGGCGACTGAAGGCAAGGTTGCTGTATGATGCGGTTCATTGAAATCACACCCAGGCCTGCCAGTCCTCTACACATCACACATCGCACATAGGGGCATTGCACATCGATGGCAAAATGCCAGGCCAGTCACCTGAAGTCTACTGAAAGAGCCAGGGTTCTGCAAGCTGCCCCAGCCTTTCTCCGATTTTTTGGGAATGTGCGTGCTCAGCAAAGCACCGGGAGCTGAGACTTGGGAGGCGGGCATTCCCTGCATCAAGGCCTTGCACCCATCCTACAAGCTAACCATACAGAAGTAATTCGCAAATCCCAAGAAAACTTCTCTCCGGTCCCGTTGAAACACCCCACCCCTTGCGAAGCAATCCCCAGGTTGCAGAGGATGCTGCAGCGCTTGCCTCCGCCAGAGCGCCGGGCCGTGATCTCGCGCTTAACACAGGCGACATGTAGTTGCAAAAGCTTGATCCGCACCATGATGAAGGTCAATGGCTAATGTGTTGTCTCGGAAATTTGGTTAGGGGCTCCTGGGAGATTGCAGCAATTTGTGCAGAGGAATGCGCATCGCGAATGGGGTGGCTGGTAGAAAGCATGTTGGAATTTGTCATAGAATCGGCATTGGCGCTCCCACTTGTTTGTTTTCATTGATTATGGATCCATGTCAGGGGCCCCCTGACCAGTATGGTTCTCCTCGTTTGTTGCCCTTCTGTGGATGCCATGGATGCCCAAAATTTCTGATTCACTAGTATGCACAGGATCCTCACTGTGATCATTTCCTGCCAGATGACTACAGCATCCAGACAGCATTGTTAAAGTATGAAAAGGCTTCAATGTCAGCTGCCGTGGAGACAAAGGATAGAATCGGAAAGAATTGAAGGAATGCTCGCAAAGTCGACTGTTGCAAAGCTGGCGCGCTCCAGGGCTGCAAGGCTGACTGATAGATAGGGACGTACTGGGGCTTTCTGGCATGGCCTCGAAAGCAGTACTTGGGGATCTGCGTTTGGGGCACCTGCTTTTTTCGGGTGCAATGTCTTTGGCAGGTTTCCTTAACGCATAAGGAATAACCTCTCTGACTGGTAAGGAAGCTCACAGTCACATGAAACCACCCTAGCTCCCGTGTTCTTTGGGAGAGTTATGCGGCCGTGCGACTAGGCGCAGCGCGAGAGGCTGGAGCGCTGGATGCTGGCGAAGCTGCTCGGAGAGTTTGATGCGGTGCCTTCTGCATGCCACCTCTGGCCTTCCGATGCCAGGCTTTCAGAAGACGTGCTAAAGGCTAAGGTTGAGTTCGAAGTTTTCAGGAAACCATGGTTACCATCCAAGCGATGGTTTTCGCCTTGGTTTCCTCTTCAGGGCCGTTCAGGGTCATCGGACCTGTGATGTTTCGCACCAACAGCTGAGGCAAGCAAGCACTCTAGATCTGAAGCATTGCGCGGAGGCGGCACGAGCTGATCCGGGCGTTGTTCACGCTGGAGACACGCTTGGAGATAGGTCTCAAATGAAGCCAAAAGGAAGCCATTTGGCAAGGTCCCTGGCTTTGGCGCATTTGCCAGATTGACACACAATCGATCCCTTGATGAAGTTGCCTGAGGTTCGATGCAGCATTGGCAGGGCTAGCGGCCATTTGTTTGAACCTTGCAGGGTGGATAAGCAAGCAGCTTGTTATTTGCTTTGGTTTTGGTGTAAATCGGATCTTGGACTCTTGGACAGCCCCACAGAAACTCATCACCCCAAGAGGAGTTTCATTTCTCTACCAGGGTTGCGGGACCCACAGGCGCGGCTGGCTTCCTGGAGGAGCTTGCTCCGCTGCAGAGGCACGTTGGGGGAGCGGGGTGGGGTGCAAGCGCGGAATCACGTTGCCTCAAGCAAATTATGCCTGTCTCAAAGTTCAGCCCCCTTGGGTGGTTTGCTTTTGGTTTCCTTTTGCAACCCTTTCAAACCTAGTTACTGAAAGGGTCCCCGCCGGAAGAGCCACGCAAGTGTCAAATTGAGGCCATGAAGGCTGGCCAACATGGTTGAGAACTTTTGTTTGCCACAAACGCGGTTGACACAAGTGTACCAACGCAGCCAGCAACACTGTCACACACAATCAAATATCTACCTCAGCTCTGCAGATGAACGTAGAGCTTAAAGAAGGAGCTCCCCCAAAAGAGGTCCGCCCAAAAAAGCAAATCTGTTTTGGAGGGTTCTGCGACAACACGTTCTCGTGCAGGCTGGCCGCAGCTTCGAGGGCAGAAGCGGAGGATGGATGCTCCCTGGCCTAGGCTCAGAGCGCATTTTGCCTGGGGCCAGCCCAGTAGGGGCGAACACTTTTCGTGGCTCCACGAGTTGTCTCATTTATCACACTGTTTGTTTGTGTTTATTGAATTCGTCAAGGTGCAGTTGGTGCATTAGTTTGGATTTTTCTTAATGCAAGATGTTTTCTTGCATGGGCGGCTAAATGTCAATGTGCTCCACGGGCCGCTGAGGAAAGCCGCGGTAGACAACGCGGCTTGTATCATCGCATCATCTCAGGCCTTGGAGGGGCGGGGGGTGGGTAGCGGGGCCTGCAAGTTCATCAAGCTTAAGGCGTCAAAAGCATTGGGATCTCCATTGGGTCTCTGCAAGATAATTACGTATGATGCAGAATCGCTGAACACGACCATAGCAACTATCGCTGCGTCCGCGCCACAATCTCAGAAGGCTCGAATCTGAACGTGGCCTGGGCACAATCTTTTTGTGAATACGAGGGCCACGCCAAAGCGGCAGACATGAGATTCCAACAATGCCAGACTCTTCCTCCTCTGTAGCTTTTGCGCCCGCATCCTTCATTCCACTCCCTTGCCGATCCCCTCGTCTTTTGAACGTCTTTTACTTCCATTTCTTCCTTTCCAGTCACTGTTATTCCTTCCCTCATGTTTTGTTGTGTCCCCCCCCCCCATTTCCATGTCTTTGTTCTTCGTTCTTTTTTTGTTTGCTTTGTCTTTCTGTTCCTTCATACTCTTCATCCTTTCCCTCCCTTCCCTTCTTTCCTCCTCCCCTTCCTTCTTTTCCTTCCACCCTCATTCCCTCCCTCTCCTGCCCAGCCGCGAGGCCGCTCCACCTACGAAGCGGTGTGCACAGCTGGGCCCTTCAGCCTCTGCACCCGCCAGACCTCCAACCTGGAGCTAGCCATGCGCTATAAGCAGGCGGATGGGCTTTGATTGACTCTGCTCCGAGGCCTTGCTTCTTTTTGGAGGTGGTTGCCCTTCAAATCAAAAACCGGCAAAAAGGGGCCCTTTCTCCCCACTGGAGATTTGGGTGTCGATTGCTGTACCTTTCAGCATCCAGGAGGGTCCCAAGTTTAAGAACATCCCCATCTAGAATCTGGTGACTGAATGCCTCATTTGGTGGCAAGTGGGAGTCAATAAGAATAGTGTTTTGGTGACCTGCGCCACGGGGGTCAACAAGCCGCGGCTTAGCTTAACGGGTGCACTGGTCTCAAGGCGGCAAGGCGACCTGCTGTTCGGCTTGAAGTCATGTTTGGTTTCGGTAAGGTGCGAAATCAAGCTTTTCCTGTCAGGAGAGCCGACAGGGCCCAAGGACAACGCTGTTTCCCATAATTATGCCCTAAGCTGTCTAAGTTGAAGGTTGTGCAAGCAATTGTTTGCCAGTGAAGCCTGCATATGCCCTTGCATATGCCAACGCACTGGCCACCTGCATTGTTCGCAAGCAGGCTTGCGTTGTTGCCAGGTACTGATGTCCATCCGTCGACGGGTGGAAGCTTCGCTTGACGATCCGCAGGCCTGCAACCGTAGACCGACCTTGCATGTGTGGAACTGCTTAGTGATCACTGCACACGAGACACTTAGAGTGAGTACTTGACACGCCGCCGTGGATTGGTGGTGGTTTCCGCTTTGAGCCCAATGATGTCGAGGTTGCCACCAGCAAGTTGATCTTTTTGTTCATGACAAGCGGTTTTGCAATGACAAACTGTTAAACCACTCACATGGAGCTACAATGCACTTGGTGCAGCGAATGGCTTCAATTGTTTTTGCTTCCGACCCCATTCACGTGGTGAGCCCCACGTGAACGGCTGTGACAGGAAGGTTTCAAGAGGGCCGTCTCGATGGAGCTACAGCAATCCGGCTTCACGGCCAAGGCGTTGGGCCCAGCTGAACAAGCCACCCAAGGTTGTGTGATGTTAGCATATTACATCCTTCTGTTCAGGGTGTGGCACACACGGTCACTGGCAGCACCGCTGTTGCTACCTCATGGCCTGGTTGCCCTGGGAAGCACCCTTCTGGCACGAGAACGTGTAGACGTCAGCTTGCAGGGGCAACCGTTTGAGTTTCACTGTACTTATCATGTTGCTTAATTTTGCTTGGAGAGCTTAAGTGACTATCAATGGGGAATGCCTGATAGTCGAGTCATGTTCAGTCCTGCCACTTCGCATTGTTGCGTCACCCCCGCCCCCTTTTCTCAGGACATGAACCTCACCTTTGTGACCCGCGTGGGCGCACGATATTGGGAGCCCTGGCTTGTATTTTGCAAGTAGGGCACGTAGTTGCTCGAAACATGTTTTTGAAGGCTGTTCCCGCTGCGCATGGAGCGCACCAATTAACAATTCATGGGTTGCGGCAAGGTGGATCCTCGAACGCTAATTCGTTCCTTCGCTGATTCCCGCAGGATGTGGCAGTGTGTTAGACCACGGATCCCTCGGCATTCTTTTTCCTTGGGCTTTGTTTGCACAACACCAAGCTGAGTTGTCCTAATTTTGTTCCAGTCTGGCTCGAACACGTATCAACCTGCATCAAGAGTGATCGGCTCAGCACATCTGAAGAAGGCAAGGCGTGCAAGCCTCCCAAGCAGCAGAATCCAATACACTTGGCTTGCAAGGATGTTCCCCAAAGCAGCTGGTGAAAGTGATTCCCATGCGAAAGGCCGGTGCGGGTTCCTTGGCAGGCGTCACAAACAGAGCACAATGTCCCACGACCGCTTGGTAGTTGAATTCAGTTGTTTCCCACAGCAGCAGCTTGGGAGCCATCAGAATGCTGGACAACAGTGGAATGTGTTTTCAGATTTTGTGGGGGCCTTGAGGCGATTGTGTTTGTGCATCCAACAGGAAAAGGGACTTGCGCACTGTCAGCATCCTATGCTAGACAGCAGTCAACGCTATGAGGGCTTTTAGTCGAGGAGGGGCATGTTGTGGGTGCAGAGTTTGAAGGCGGTCTTTGTAGAATACCAGTTCTTCCATGGGAAGTAACAATCTTCAGACTTGTAGGATGCTGTTCGCCTCCAGTTTACAACCGAACAACAAAGTGCCCTACTGCCAATGAAGGTATGACAAAACCCTGCCGAAAGCATCACACAAATCCCACACGCTCCTGAATAGGGGCCAACCCGAGAGTCGAGAGTCCATGTCCTTTCCAAGGTGGGCCGGTCCCTGGAGACGCCGCGCTTCAGCGCCAGCGGCGATGGCCTGGAGCAGGGCTTCAGCGCCTGGCGACGGCTGCGCCAGGACGGGGCTTGGTGTTTCGGGGCGCTCTTGGTTGGGGTTCAAAGGGGACAGGAATGGGGAAGGTGGGGGGAGGTGGAGGGAGGTGGAGGGGTGCTTGGCTCAAATGGTTTATGCCACAAAATGAGAGGCCCAAGCAAATGGATGCAAATGGTGGTTCGCTTTTTACAGCCACCCGGGAAAAAAGAAACCTTGCTAGAACCCTTGCTAGAACCCTTGCTAGAACCCTTGCTTGATTGGTGGGCTTGGTTTTGGTTGACACTTGGTGTTTAAAACAGTTCGTCAACTTGGCCGCGTTGCTTGGCTGCATGCTTTGGTTACTGTCGCTGATGTGTTGTTGCTTGATTGTTTGCTCTGGTTGCTTGCTTGTTTGATTGGTTGCTTGTTTGTTTATTGATGTATTTTAGTTGTTAATTGTGCTTGTTTGTTTGTGTTGTGGTCCCTTGCAAATGGAATGCCTTCCGACCAAGGCTATTTTTCATCCCAGGTGGCCCTGCGTTGGCAACGCCCCTCCCTCTCGCCCCCCCGAAATTTGACGTGCGTGGCCCAGGCACGCTGCGTGGTCTTTGAAGGTGCCTGCAATGAGCTCTCCCTGCTCAGTCAGCACAGCCCAGGCCCGATTCATGGGGTCACTGGTCTCTCCTTTGCCAGCTGGTAGGCCTGTCGGAACATGTTCTTGATTGTGCGCTGGCGAGGCAATGTTGCTGGTAATGCTAGGTCTGGCTAATGTGCGCCAATATGACTTTGCACTTGCTTTGTCAGACAGTTTGGTATTCCTTTCGGGGTACTTTGGGCCTTTCCCAGGTGAGCTTGCTGATGCCTGGGCGAGGCTGCGGTCTGTCTACCTCGACATTTGGGAGGAAGCAGGCGCAACACGATGTGCTGTGTGAAATTTTGCGCCCAAAGACAAAGCCCCATTCAGGGATCCATTTTGTGATTGCCCTAAGAAAACTTGAACCCAGAGGAACACCCTACACAGTAGGTTCTGGTGGAACCCCTTGATTTCTTTTGACAACCCAAGATCTCCACCCAAAAGGCATGCCCATAAACCCGCTCAATTTAAGTGGACCCAACCCTTTGGGCTTCCTCCACACCCAAGTCACGGATTTCAGGCTCGCCACGTCTCCCAGCCTTAGGCCACCGCCAGCGCGCGGCCCGGCGCCTGGCGCGCCTCGAGGCGCGCCAGGCACCCCGGCAGCAGGCGGCGGAAAGGCGCTGGCGCCCGGCAGCCCGGAACATCGGACTGCGGACTGCTGGCTTTGGGCTGTTCCTTCCAGCTGGTTCTGGCTGGAATTGCAAGCCGACTTCAATCATGGTTTGCAGTTGTTGGCTTTCTTTTGTTCAATTCAAAGCCCACGACAACATTAATCACGCTGCATGATGTTTCGTTCTTTCGTGGTGAAAGCAAGCGCTGAGACAGGCTCCGTTGTCATCAGTCATTCAGAGCATGCTCCTTGTGGAAAAACGTAGCTTTGGAAGGACTGCCAGCGCGTTTGTTTTTGCAATCCTGTTGGTTTCTTTGCTGTAGTCATGGCACAGTCCTTTTTGGCCAGGGCTTCCACGTAAGTAGAGGTTTGCCAGATGGTTGCAGCGGCCCGGATCAAAGCAGAGCTTTTGTCACTACGTACGTCCCTGTGGCAGTGGAGACGTCCAGGCATGAGTGCTGTCACCTGCCACCCCTCAGATTTGGGCCGAGGTGCATCCTGCGCAGCCTGTGCAGAGACGTGCCTCTCCGCGTGCTTAATGATTGCTTAATGCTTAATACCTGGCGTCACGTCGGGCGGGGGTTCAAACATGAATCTTGAACAGCTTGGCCCATGGCCAAGGTTGTTTTCTGCATTTTTACTAGCGGTTTCCTGGAGCAAGTTTGAAATGACTTGAGTGCCCAGGATTGGGCAATCTAGGGAGCGTTTATTCGCCGCCTTGGGCCTTGACCGTCCTTTCACGGCACCAGGGTCTCAAGCTAAACCGTAGGCCCAGCTGGGAATGCAGCTCCAACTTGGCAGCAATCAGAACCTTTCTGGAACATAGACTCAGGAGTTGGATGTCCTCTGCAAATCTCGTGTAGGCACTAGCTGGAACTTGAAGCTTGGCATGCGAAGTGTTAGTTCGGTCCGGCGGTATTTTGACAGGCCGCAGGCCGTCTCCGTGGCACAAGGTGCGGCGGGGCTCGGGGGGTGGGTTGGTGAACCGTATTGTGCTAGTATTGCTGAAGCCTGCATTGAGCTAGTGTTGCACTTTTGGGCAATCTGGCCGTGTGCCGCAAGTGAGCTCTGTGCTTTTGTGCATGGTGTGGGCCGCGCCTTTTGCCACGGCTCAACTTCAGCTTTGAACACTTCTAGGCTGAAATGGGGGGTTCCCAAAGTCAAGATGGCGCAACGCCAGCTCCGCGCGCCAGCACGGGCAGACCAGCGACCGCTGGCGAAATGGTAAAGCTGAACGTGTACTCGCCTTCCGGTAGTCAGCATGTGGCAACCAGCTTAAGACATGAGCCCTGGGCCTTCTCCCGTTCCAGATTCGATCGTGACACAACCATTGACGCAGCTCGTTTGCTCAGGCATACCACTCGGGTGTCGAGGTCTATGGTGGCGAGCACGTTTTCGGAGGTGGCAACACCTCTTTCAGCGGCGTCACCGTGCAGAGGCCCCAGGTGCCTCCACGAGGCAGCGGCTGGACCTTCTACCAGACGCTGGACATCGCTCCCTGCCGGCTGTCACGCGACGATGCTATGCGGGCGATCCAGGCGTGGAGATGCGGCGGGTTTTGCCAAGGCATGCCAAGGGCTGAGGATAAATTTCAATTGAATTGATGAAGACGCCCGTTGTTCCTGGCCTCGAGTATTTTGAGTTTCTGCTTCCAAGTGAGGCGCCACCTGTTTTGAAAGGGCCAATGCAGATGAAATTGTCTGTTCTCTTACGATAGTCGTGATGCAGCAGCTTGTGGGTGTCAATTGCCTGAAAGCTGGAGCTAGTCATTTGTCCTCCCCGATTGCCCTTGGCATGCTTCCGCTTCCAAGCCCAACGCTACATGGAGCACTTGGTTTGTCACGTGGGGCCAGCAAAGCTGCGCTCTTCCAACCGGCGCTCACAGGAGCTGAGTAGGGCCTGGCCTGCCTCCGGCTACGACCTCATGGCCAGGAACTGCAATCACTTCTCGGAGGCGCTTTGCCAGCGGCTTTGCGGCCAGGGCATCCCATCCTGGGTGACGCCTGGGTCATGCTATAGCAAAGAAAGTCTTGTTATGCCCAGCCTGAACCTCCCACACAGCCGCGGGCCTGGCCGACGTGACTTGGTTGCCCAGGAACCGCCTCGCCGGCCTCGGGAACGCCGTGCGCAGCGCCGTGGGCGCGGGTGCCGAGCCGGGCGCCGCCCCTGCGCGCGCGGAGGGCGCCGGGGGCCCGGCGGCGGCGGGGCTGGTGGCACGGAACACGGAGGGGGAGCTGTCAGGAGAAATCGACTGGAGCCCTGGCTGAAGCAGGCAGTGGGCATCAACTTCATGTTGATTGGGTGTTGTTAGTCCCGTGGAAGCCTGTCAATACGGGGTGGTTTGTTTTCCGACCTCCCATCCATTGCCAGTTGTGCTGTCAAAGCATGCGATTTGCGCCATTTGTGTGGGTGCAGGGCGGCAATTTGAGAGGTTGTTCTTGTTGGGTTGTGCTCACTTCGGCTATCGCATTCTGGCACTACATGAGGCCATGTGACGTAACGTGCTCCAGTCACAAGGGCGCTTTTTGAACTTACAAGTCACTGAGCGGTTTTGGACAGCATAATGTGGCACATGCTAACTTGCGTTCACACCAAAGTTCATCCAACATTGCCAACATGCTAGCATTTCTATGCAATTCCGGGCACGCCAACATGCTGGCCCCATTACGCAGCACTGCCCATAGCCACATGCCGCGGCAGAGACAGAGAGAGAGAGAGAGAGAGCATGTATTCAAGAGGCACAGCGGTGGGTGCGGGGTCAGGAAGGCCGCTGGGGTGCTCAACGCGGTGGAAGCCGATCCCACCGAAGCTCTGCAGAGCACAAGCGTCTCCTCCGAGGTGTGGGAAGGGGCGGTGACATCGGTGTTGCCCCAAGTGGCTGTGGGAAAAGGAGGGTTTCCAGTTGAGCGCTCAGAAATCAACTCAAAGACAATAGAAACATGAACGCCAAGCTAAGAATCAACCATCGATCACCCCGCTGCCTCCGCTTTGTCAGGCGGACTCGCCGGAGCTGCTGCTGTTGCTGCCATTCATCTCACCTGTGAAGATGCAGAAGCTGCAGCTGCAAGCACCAGATAGGTCCAAGGCGCCGTCCACGCTCCGCCTGCGGCTTGGCAAACGTAAGCTAGTTAGCAGCTTGTGTTCCAAGCAAGCAAGCAAGCAAGCAAGCAATCAAGCAAGCCAGCATGTGCCGCAAACCAACCCAAGAACTCCTTAAACCCATCCCAAGCCCACCCTGAAGTCCACCCTACCACCCTAAACCTACCTTAATCCCTCCATATCCTACCCATAGTCCCCCTAAACCTACACAACCCTAGCCCTCCCGCCCTGCATTGACATGCCAACGTTCCGCCTTTCGAGGGCACGTAAAGCAAAGGGCGAAGATTCCTGACCGTTTCCTGGGCAGTCATCCCAGAACTCGCAGCAAGGTCTTGCCCACTTCAAGCTTCTGATATATTTGTTACACCTGAACGCCCGCTAGGCATTGTGTTGGGTGTTGTTTTGCCGAGTGCAAGGCCAGGGGCACGCAACGTGTGGTTTGACCCTGCTGCTGTTTCTGCACGTGGAAATTTGCGTCCGGCATCAGCTGCTACCTGCCTTTGGCAGAGTCGTTTCTTGTTGAGTTCAGGCTGAAGCCTTTGCTGCATGTTTGCAGCGCTTTGATGATTAAGTCCTTTTCGCTCAAGTGACACAGATAGCTTTGCGCAGCTGTAGCTCGGAATGATCTTCTTACTGTCCGCGGCCTCCTCTTCAATTAGCTTACTTGACTTCTGTTGTGCGCGCCATGGCCAAGCACAAACATTCCAATGCGGTGAGCCACATTTCCATGCGGCCGTTTCTTTTTTGCAGAAGACCTCTATTTTCGCTCAACCTGAGGTTTGCCAACAACCCAAACCTGGACATGGACGATGCCCTCTCTGGCGCAGCCACGCAGGAGTTCCACGACGTGGCCTGGACCGCTGCGGGCGATGCGTGGTCTGCAAATCTGGAGGTCAACTTCCTGAAGTTTCAGAAGCTCAGCTTCCTAGCGATTTATGCCAGCCGCGAAGATGGCCAGGTCAGTATTGGCAAGCTGTCGCTGTCAGGCCGTAGCTAGGAGGCCCTTCGGCCGTGAGCAGGTGCGTGTTGCTTCAGCCAACAAGGGCTTGAAGAGCAAGCCAGCAGACACAACGCTAGCGCACTGGCGCTGCAAAAAGTCCCTTGTCATTGGCAGGCAGGCATGCTGGAGTCTAGTGCCGCGATTTGTCATGGGAAGATGGTGCAACGTGCCCAACGGCAAGTGCAGCATTAACATCGGTTGTTTTCTTGAATGTAGCCTGCATGTTCCAGCGGCCCCTGCCTGCTACCACGCAACAGTAACAGGACAGAAGTAGTCAATTGCATTTTCTTTTTTTCTCTGGACGGGATTGTGCCCTTATGTGCTTTAATCCTTTGTACTCTTTGTGAGCTTGTCAGCCCCCGATGATTGTAAAACTATTGGTGTTTGGATCGGAGAGCGTGTTCTTTGTTGGAGTGGAAATCTGCTGAGTTGAATGCTTAATCCTTTGGTTGGAAGCTTCAGACAAGGGGCGACGGTTCTGGCCAAAGTCGTGTTTCTCGATGAGGATAGCAGACTGCCCGCAAGGGCTGGATTGTTTTAAATATTGAACTCTGGAGCGCTTTGATGGGACTAATGTCGACTTGGGACTATTCCAAAGGTGCATGCTAATCAGAGGTGTCTCACCGTTTAGTGGAAGCTTAGTTGTTTGTTTTGGGACTTCAGCATTGATCAGAAGTCAACATGAAGACTTTTTTTTGCTCACGCCAGGTGGGGTCGCCCCATAAGCGCCAGGCCTGCTTTGGGCGGTGAAGCATGTCCGCTGGGCAACACAACGATGAATATTATTATATGGGTTTGTCCTTTTTTGGTGTGTTGAGTTGCTTCAAAAGGCAGAAGGTGGGACCTCCCCGAATCATACCCCCGAATCATACCCCCGAATCATACCCCGAATCATACCCACGAATCATACCCCTTAAAACGTATGCTGCAAGATGCTACTGTTCTTCTACCGTTTTGTGTTGTTCACTGCCTCCACAACAACCACCACCAGCGCTACCCAATACTACCACTACCACTACTACTACTACTACTACTACTACTACTACTACTACTACTACTACTACTACTACTACTACTTCTACTACTACTACTACTACTACTACTACTACTCCAATACTATACTGCTACTACCACTACTACTACTACTACTACTACTACTACTGCTACTACCGCGACTACGAGTATTACTACCACTACTACCGCTACTACCGCTGCTACTACTACTCTACCGCTTCTACGTCTGCTTCTGCTACCCTTACTACTTACTGCTACTACTACTACTACTGCTACTACTACTACTACTACTACTACTACTTCTACTTCTACTTCTACTATTCCTGCTGCTGCTGCTGCTACTACTCACTACTACGACATACATCATGCTGAGTCTGTAGTCAGTGCCGTTTTGCACCTAGCCGAATCATACCCGCGAATCATACCCGAATCATACCCGGACAATGAGCTTCCCCTGCCAAGGCTAGTGCCAAGTCTTTTCAAAGCGTCCGCACCACTACTACTACCACTACTACTGCTACTACTACTACTACCACAGCTACTACTACATTCATCATTCTGAGTTTGTAGTCAGTGCCGTTTTGCACCTAGCCGAAACATACCCGCGAATCATGCCCGAATCATACCCGCGCAATGAACCTGCCTTGCCAAGGCCAGCGCCAAGTCTTTTCAAAGCTTCCGCGCCACTACAGTCGCTGCTTTTACTGTTACTACTACTACTACTACTACTACTACTACTACTACTACTACTACTACTACTACTACTACTACTACTACTACTACTACTACTACTACTACTACTACTACTACTACTACTACTACTACTACTACTACTACTACTACTACTACTACTACTACTACTACTACTACTACTGCTACTATACTACTACTGCTACTACTTTTGTTACTACAACAAACTACTACTAGCACTACTTCGACGACTACTGCTACTACTACTGCTACTACTACTGCTGCTGCTGCTGCTGCTGCTTCCGCGAATCATACCCCCGAATCATACCCCGAACCATACCCGCGAATCATACCTGCGAATCATACCCCGTACTCAAACCTTCCTGCCCGGCCCCCGTAAAAAAATACAAACCCATATATCTACACACAGACATACACACACACACATATATATATATGTACATCTTGATTTTCTTACATACATACATTCCTACCTACCTACATACCTACATGCATACATGCATTGTCAGAAAACATGTTATGTGGTGGGCTTGTACTGTAGTTAGGAAAGCTTGGGCATGCTGAGGTGCCAGAAACATATTTCGTGCATGGCTGGGCCCAAGCCGGATGCAATAAATGTCCTTGTATGGCATTCATGTCTTCCAGCGAGCTATTCTCACATGCTTGAAACGTGAACAGGTCCGTCAGGGAGGCATGTCGGCCAAATGCCCTCAGCAATTCATGCCAGCCGTTTTGTAGGAGCCAAGGAATAGATTTGACCTGCTGTGCTTGCAAGTGTGTTAAATCCTGCCCTGCACCGTTGCCCTAGCTTGGCACCATTGCACCAGAGCACTGTCAGGCAGCTCCATGAATCCCGGACGGGCACGAGAACCTCAGCAAGCCATCAGCACTGATTGGTAGAGATCCATGGCAATATCTGGTTGTTTTCCTGGAGGGGCCGGCATGGTTTGAGCGTGGCCGGGTACGCTTTTTTGATTTTGAGATTGAACACAGTGGTGCAGTTGTGCAGCCAATGCCCGAACCGAGGTCAGACGCTAAAACCAATCCAATTGGCATGCAAACCAGCGCTGATTCGCAGCCGATGAGCAAGTGTGTGCCCTTAAATTGGGCTGGGCTTGCATGATTTCCAGCCTGATTGCTTCATGCACTGCCGCTGGCTGGCCCCCGATGGAAGCAAGGGGACCAAACAGGTACTGAGCTTGATGTGACGCACGCCTGGCAGACAGGGAATTGGTGAGAAAAGGGGCACGTATGGCGTGCCCATGCCAATGCAAGCAAGCATGTTCTTGGACAGACGGTGGCGCACTGGGGCCCATGATTGGAGCACGGCAAGGCTTTGTGTGATCTGCTTCCCCGATTCCCGCCCACGCGCCAAGCTTGCAGCTTTCAGCCCTGTTGCCATCTTATAATGGCATCGGGGCTGTTACGTATGCTACGACGCGTTGCATAGCCACAGGCAACTTCAGCACTTGGTGGCAAAGTATGCGGCGGATCATTAGAGTGTCGTTGGTGGCAAAAAAAAATATAGGGGCCGTGAACGATGTGCCTCAGCAGTCGTCACTTGGTGAGACAGAGTTGTGCACATGAAGGGTTTCGCCACACTGCCGCGTTGGAGGACTTACGAATCAAAGCGGCTTGCTTTCAGCATGTCTCCGCATGGTTTTGTTGGCGTCGACCATTTCTGCAGTTTTGAAGTCGATTTTGCATGGTTACTTAGCACTCCAAGACCTTTGGCAAGTCAGTAATCCACACCGTTTCGTACTACAGAGATATCATGCCTTGGCTCGCAATGAAACCGGCCGTGTCTTTCAAGCGCCTCGCAGCGTATGGCTCGGCGAGAGCCTTCCCCGGAGTGGGGACCTCCTTTGATGCAGTTACACACGTGTGTGGTCACCTAATGAGAAGTTCCCCAATGCATTAGCCACAGAGCAATCAGTAAGCTCCGCAAACTTATCTTCAATGTGCAAAGGAGTTCTCAGCCAAACATGCCTGCCAAAGCACTCAGAGAGACGCAACAACTGCAAGGTTCAGTGCCAGAGGCGACCAAACACACAGCACGATGCATTTCTGACAGAGAAGACCTTGTTGCCCTTGAGTTTTTTACGCGTCTTTGAAGCTGGAGCGATGCATCCATACGCTCCGCCGCCACAGCCGCGGTACAGGACTGGGGGACACTGGGAAGGAGAGGGCGGGGCGACGAAGAGCAGGTTTTGCAGACACGCCCGAAGCTTATGGTCAAGGCAATGGAAACCAAGTGCGCAGCAAATGAGGGAAAACAGCGTTGTCACAGTGCACAGGTGTTGCTCATGGGGCAAGGGTGGAAGCACATCAATCAAAAGTGCAGCAAATGGCCTGCTTCTTTCCGGCTTGCTCCTCTTGAATCTTCGTACGCCGCGTGCCTTGGGATTTTGTCCACAAAGCAACTAGTCCCACATGCTTCCACACTGAGGGAGTTTTGGCAGGAGCCGAAGCAGAGGTCGGTCGTTGCTGAGCTGCAGGTCAACTAGTGATGTGCGGGCGTGCTTGGTGCCTTTTGGAAGTGTGCGGAGAAGAGTTGTTTTGCGCATGAATTGCCTCGAGAGAGCTGGCTCTTCTCGAAAGACGGAAGTGGCCCCACTTTCAACCTTAGACCTTGGCTGTTGTCGAACGTACTAAGCTGCAGAAGCATTTTTGCCAGCGGCGCCCAGCCATTTCTTTCATGCGCCAGGATGGTCGCCCAGCTTTCGAAGGACATTATTTTGCACACATAGGCAGCCAGTTGTTCCCGTGTAGATTGCCAAGGTACGGCCACAGCTACGCTCCTCCACCGCCTGGCCCTGGCTACGCTCCTCCGCCACCTGGCCCAGGCTATGCCCCTCCCCCACCTGGCCAAGGCTATGCTCCTCCCCCGCCTGGACCGGGCTACCCTCCGCCCCATGGCTATCCACCCAGCCAGCCACACGGCTATAGCCAGCCACACGGCTATAGCCAGCCGCCTCCGCACTATCCTCCGGAGCCACAGTATCCTCAGTATGCTCCCCCGCCCCCTGACCCATACGCCCTACCACATAGGGATCCGAGGGACCCTTACGGACCACCTCCTGCTCATGCACCTCCACCCTCATATCCACCGCCTGGCTACGCGCCCCCAGCTTACCCACCAGCGGAGTACCCGCCGCAAGGCTACGGCCCTCCTCCACAATACGGCCCTCCGCCCCATGGCCATGGATATCCGCCGCCCCACTACCCCCCGCCACCTGGTCCTGGCTACAGTGCGCCACCGCCACCACCGCCACACCACTACCCTCCCCCACCAGCCCATTATGGCGGCCACCCCGCCATGCCTGGCTACGGCGCCCTTCCGCGGCGCAGCCCTTCTCCCAACCGCAGCTTGGCATCAAGCTGTGCTGGGTCGCAGGTTTGTCAGCCCGAATTGCTGATCGTTGCGTTTGTCCAGGGTCTCGAATCGGGCCAGAATGCCAGTGAGTGTTTCGCTACGTGGATTGGAGACGTGCTGGTGTGCTGAGTCGCCAAGGCAACCTTTTCAGAAGGACAACAAAGCGGACTATAGAGAAGAAGCCGAAAGCCAAAGCCAAGCCCAAGGCAGCTGAGAAGAAGCCGCCGCCAGTCGCTGGGATGCCAGAAATCATGGGGGCACTCGTGCTGGCTGATGGCCCTCTTTCCAACGTCATGAAGGGCGGTTCAGCATGATTCATGATGCTAGCCCCCCATATCTTCTCAAACTCTTTTGTCCACTACCACGCTCGCGCCAGAGGTTGACTTTCGAGGAAGCGTTTCTGGGAAGTGCAACTAGCAGCGCTAAATCCATTTGGCGCACTCGGCTATCGATATACCGAGATTTTGATAATAGCAATTTCTCAGACAACATGCGGAACACTAGGACTCAACTGAAAAGATGTTTCTCTTAGTCGTTTGCTGGCAGAGTCTTTGACTGTGAGTGACCCCAGTCGCATTGACAACTCCATTTTGTTTGCATGCCCCAACGTCCTGCTTCCCGTTGTTATCTTCATTCCTTTCTGTGAATGCGCATTAGCCCGTCACCGCGAGAGCCCGGGTGGGGCCATGTGTGAGGGAACGTTGTTTACACATGCAGGTTCCAGCCCTGCGCCAAAATCAAGCTGCTTAAAAAATAAGATATTGGGCCCCAGGGTTGGTGTTTGAAGGGTTTCTGCAGAGGGTTGAATCGCCCAACCCTGCATGGAGCCCATCCTGAATCTGAGGTCAAGGAGGATGGCAGCGAGCTGACGCCGCGGGAGCTGTCCGACATCAAGGAGCTGGAGAATAAGGCCAAACGGGAGGCCAACCCCGAGGCTCGGGACCCGGAGCAATGCCGCACAATCCATCAGGCATTTGTCAAAATAGCGCCCCCCCGCCCTCGATAAAAGAAGGTGTGCGGTGAGCCCATGTTGCATTCACATACGCACACACACACACATATATATATGTATGTATGTATGTATGTAATGTATGTAATGTATGTAATGTATGTAATGTATGTAATGTATGTAATGTATGTATGTATGTATGTATGTATGTATGTATGTATGTATGTATGTATGTATGTATGTATGTATGTATGTATGTATGTATGTATGTATGTATGTATGTATGTATGTATGTATGTATGTATGTATGTATGTATGTATGTATGTATGTATGTATGTATGTATGTATGTATGTATGTATGTATGTATGTATGTATGTATGTATGTATGTATGTATGTATGTATGTATGTATGTATGTATGTATGTATGTATGTATGTATGTATGTATGTATGTATGTATGTATGTATGTATGTATGTATGTATGTATGTATGTATGTATGTATGTATGTATGTATGTATGTATGTATGTATGTATGTATGTATGTATGTATGTATGTATGTATGTATGTATGTATGTATGTATGTATGTATGTATGTATGTATGTATGTATGTATGTATGTATGTATGTATGTATGTATGTATGTATGTATGTATGTATGTATGTATGTATGTATGTATGTATGTATGTATGTATGTATGTATGTATGTATGTATGTATGTATGTATGTATGTATGTATGTATGTATGTATGTATGTATGTATGTATGTATGTATGTATGTATGTATGTATGTATGTATGTATGTATGTATGTATGTATGTATGTATGTATGTATGTATGTATGTATGTATGTATGTATGTATGTATGTATGTATGTATGTATGTATGTATGTATGTATGTATGTATGTATGTATGTATGTATGTATGTATGTATGTATGTATGTATGTATGTATGTATGTATGTATGTATGTATGTATGTATGTATGTATGTATGTATGTATGTATGTATGTATGTATGTATGTATGTATGTATGTATGTATGTATGTATGTATGTATGTATGTATGTATGTATGTATGTATGTATGTATGTATGTATGTATGTATGTATGTATGTATGTATGTATGTATGTATGTATGTATGTATGTATGTATGTATGTATGTATGTATGTATGTATGTATGTATGTATGTATGTATGTATGTATGTATGTATGTATGTATGTATGTATGTATGTATGTATGTATGTATGTATGTATGTATGTATGTAATGTATGTATGTATGTATGTATGTATGTATGTATGTATGTATGTATGTATGTATGTATGTATGTATGTATGTATGTATGTATGTATGTATGTATGTATGTATGTATGTATGTATGTATGTATGTATGTATGTATGTATGTATGTATGTATGTATGTATGTATGTATGTATGTATGTATGTATGTATGTATGTATGTATGTATGTATGTATGTATGTATGTATGTATGTATGTATGTATGTATGTATGTATGTATGTATGTATGTATGTATGTATGTATGTATGTATGTATGTATGTATGTATGTATGTATGTATGTATGTATGTATGTATGTATGTATGTATGTATGTATGTATGTATGTATGTATGTATGTATGTATGTATGTATGTATGTATGTATGTATGTATGTATGTATGTATGTATGTATGTATGTATGTATGTATGTATGTATGTATGTATGTATGTATGTATGTATGTATGTATGTATGTATGTATGTATGTATGTATGTATGTATGTATGTATGTATGTATGTATGTATGTATGTATGTATGTATGTATGTATGTATGTATGTATGTATGTATGTATGTATGTATGTATGTATGTATGTATGTATGTATGTATGTATGTATGTATGTATGTATGTATGTATGTATGTATGTATGTATGTATGTATGTATGTATGTATGTATGTATGTATGTATGTATGTATGTATGTAATGTAATGTATGTAATGTATGTATGTATGTATGTATGTATGTATGTATGTATGTATGTATGTATGTATGTATGTATGTATGTATGTATGTATGTATGTATGTATGTATGTATGTATGTATGTATGTAATGTATGTATGTATGTATGTATGTATGTATGTATGTATGTATGTATGTATGTATGTATGTATGTATGTATGTATGTATGTATGTATGTATGTATGTATGTATGTATGTATGTATGTATGTATGTATGTATGTATGTATGTATGTATGTATGTATGTATGTATGTATGTATGTATGTATGTATGTATGTATGTATGTATGTATGTATGTATGTATGTATGTATGTATGTATGTATGTATGTATGTATGTATGTATGTATGTATGTATGTATGTATGTATGTATGTATGTATGTATGTATGTATGTATGTATGTATGTATGTATGTATGTATGTATGTATGTATGTATGTATGTATGTATGTATGTATGTATGTATGTATGTATGTATGTATGTATGTATGTATGTATGTATGTATGTATGTATGTATGTATGTATGTATGTATGTATGTATGTATGTATGTATGTATGTATGTATGTATATGTATGTATGTATGTATGTATGTATGTATGTATGTATGTATGTATGTATGTATGTATGTATGTATGTATGTATGTATGTATGTATGTATGTATGTATGTATGTATGTATGTATGTATGTATGTATGTATGTATGTATGTATGTATGTATGTATGTATGTATGTATGTATGTATGTATGTATGTATGTATGTATGTATGTATGTATGTATGTATGTATGTATGTATGTATGTATGTATGTATGTATGTATGTATGTATGTATGTATGTATGTATGTATGTATGTATGTATGTATGTATGTATGTATGTATGTATGTATGTATGTATGTATGTATGTATGTATGTATGTATGTATGTATGTATGTATGTATGTATGTATGTATGTATGTATGTATGTATGTATGTATGTATGTATGTATGTATGTATGTATGTATGTATGTATGTATGTAATGTAAAATGTATGTATGTATGTAATGTAATGTAATGTAATGTAATGTAATGTAATGTAATGTAATGTAATGTAATGTAATGTAATGTAATGTAATGTATGTAATGTAATGTAATGTAATAATGTAATGTAATGTAATGTAATGTAATGTAATGTAATGTAATGTAATGTAATGTAATGTAATGTATGTATGTATGTAATGTATGTATGTATGTATGTATGTAATGTAATGTAATGTAATGTAATGTAATGTAATGTATGTATGTATGTATGTATGTATGTATGTATGTATGTATGTATGTATGTATGTATGTATGTATGTATGTATGTATGTATACATATGTATGCATGTCATTGTTTTGCTGCGTCGTAGCAGTTTCACATTGGTTTTTACAGGTGCGAATACGTTTCACCCGTTCTTCCACTGTTTGGCATTGTATTGGTTGAAATGGCATGGGCGGGCAGCTCATCAGTTCACCAGTACGCGTTCCCCAATATGTTGTACTCCTGTGCCCCTCCTGATGTTTTGTGTGATTAATCCGAAGTCAACCATGAGCATCTGGGTTCCACTGGTTTCAGTTTGGCCCCAAAATAATTTACCCAAAGTTGACAAGGACATGAGTTCTTTTGTGAACCAACCCCAAAAAGACTTACCTCAAATACTGACCCTACATAAGGCGATGCAAGGAGCTAAATATATCCACTGCAAAATTTCATGAGAATGACCCAATTCGGATTAGCGGCCGCACAACCCCATCGCCATCTACCGTCCGCAGGCCACGCGGGAGGCGAAGCCATTGCAGCTCTTGGTGGAGCGAGCTTCCAACCCCAAGAGTTGGATCCCCTGCATCGAGGATGTGCACAACCGCTCCTGGTCCCTCTGAAGCAAACCGTCGCTATCCAATAGCAACCTGGAACCCTTCAAGCGTCCCGGAGCCGCTCTGAACTACTCCAAGAACCTGGTCATAGACCTCAAAAAGATTCCAACTGTTGCGGGAAAACACTTGAATGTGACCTTGGATGACGTCTGATGGATGGAGCTGGAACCCTGCTTTGAGCGAAAGTGTCGCTAATACTCTGGATGTTTTCTTGTCCAGATTATGCAATTTTTGTTTGCTTATTCATTCCTGAATCATTGTTTAATTTATTTTATCCTGACAACTGGCCTCGAAGGCTTTGTTTGAGGTTGTACCCGGGCGGGGGGAAGGCTGGCAAGATTGGCACAGAAGTCTGCCCGTACGAGTCGAAATCAGGGCCCTGCACAATTATTTGCACGGCGGGCTGCACCAGGAAGGTTTGCGTGTCATATTCCATTTGAAGCCTACAACAAAGCATTTGTGCGGATAGTTGGTTTTTATGGGCGCAGTCCCAGATGAGGGATGACAAGCGTTCGTCCAAGATTGCTGGAAGCAATGAAAAGCCGCGAAATCCAGCTATGGTTCCGCAAGCGGGGGAGGCGCGTTGGTTTTCGTAGCAGCAACCATCAGCGTTGGCTTGGGTGTGTTTGCGTTGCCAAAAAGGTTAAACAAAAACGTAAAGTAGCAAGCTTGTACTGAACAAGTTGCCGACAGTGACGCTAGCTTGCCAATGAAGAGCCATTTGATGTCGCACACGATGGACACGTTCAGCATGTTCAAAATCCCTCTGAAACGAGGCTGGAGGTGCCTCATGCGGATTCCTCAGGCACTATTTGTTGCACAGCACATGCTCAGACGACCGGTCAGCAATACTGTGGGCCGTGGGTACCTTGGTGGCTCCATAGCTCAGTTCCCCCTCCAGTGTGCGATGGCTTTTTCTAAGGATGTATATGAGCCAAGAAAAGAGCGTGACACACCAGGACTTCCAGGCGGGGCATCTTAAGGCCATCACTCATTTGGCCTGCTGCAGTCGGAGAATTTCATGCAACGTGACCCACCTGCCCGTCACTCCAAATTCACGCGTTTCATATCCCACAGCTGCGCTTGCAACCCAGCGAGAAGCGTGAATCGGCAAACAGTTAGGAAGGTCAGGCGTTTAGCTGCAGTTTAAAACTTCACTTGTTGTTGGGGTAAGGGCAGCAAGCCGACAGCTCCTTCCTGCTTCCCCAGCTTGACCGCAGGACCTGAAGAGCAAAGTTGAGTGGACGGAGATCCACGGCGCTGCCGTCGTGACCAGGAAGACCATGTGGTTCGTCAAGCAGGGCTGCAGGTGCCACGGGCAGATGGCCAATGCGTCGGCCAGATGATGTCCTTTTGCGTGTGTTTTTGTGGCTGTTTGTAGTTGAGCCACACATCGGAGAGGTATTGAAAACTATTGCTTGGCTTTCAGGCGAAAGCATGTGCCTAAGTTTGGTACCAAGCTGCTGAGCTGCGCATCAAGTGTGGCACGTGCACAGTGAAGACCAATTCCAATGACTGCATCAGTTGCTTCGAGCCGAATTTTGCAATTTTCAGGTCGAAGAGAGAGGGACAAATCTACTGTAAGTTGGGATCCCTGACCCGCCACCCCAAAAAGCTGGGTATCATTGCGGTCATTGGAGGGTGCTTGCCAATACACACAAGCGTTGTAGCCGGTTGCTGTTTGAGATCCTTAACCCCTTAGACACTAATTGCAGATTTTCACCCACAATGCCAGACCACTTGGCCGGGGGAGCTTAACAACTGCCTGAGTCACTGCAGTACGATATTCAGAGCTGAGCTCTCTTCAGGTGTCCTTACAACTACGGCAAGCAGCAAGTCAGTGCTGTGACCTTCCCGGATTGGTTCATGGACATGGCGAAACGCTGGCTGGGTTCTCTCAATCTCAATGACGAGGAGCTTTGGCTTGGGAAAGGAACGGGGATGTTGCAACCGCTGCCGTTCCAGAGAACGCCTGCATACCCCCCACAATAAGTCAGTGTGAAGGTGGTTTGGGACTGCTGATTCTGTCCAGTCAGGTCTCCTCATGCGTAGTGGCTGTAGCTAGCTTCACGAAACCGCGAGTTGGGCTCGGCTGCTGGTTTGGTCAGCGTGATGCTTTGTCAAAAATGCCTCGTGAGGTGAATGGTTTCGCTTCCAGCAAGGGTTTCCGGAAAAGCAGGCGCCTCCTGAGTACAATTTGGCCGATCCACCGAAATGGGAAGTAGGATCTGCCATTTATGTGGAGTGCCAGGCTCGGCTACTGTTGGGTTTATTTGACTCGTGCATGATTTTACCTCAATCTTGAGGACAAGAACTCTGCGTTCCCGGACTCGGTGAATTTGAACTTGTATGAGCACGGCGACCATCAAGTTGCGTGGCATTCTGATGACGAGCCTTTATTCCGAGGCAAATTTCAGGACGCCTTGAGATAGACTGGATATATTTTTTTGGCCTGGGCAAGTGCATGATGCTTGACATGACCATTGACAATTTGACCAGCAGGCTTTGAAAATGAATTTCTGCCTGCCACAAACATCCTTGCATTTTTTTCTGAACACGCTGGGGCACATGCCCACTGGCTTGGCACCAGCCGTGCGAAGCAAATAGGACGCTCGCATCATCTCTGTGACCTTGGGCGCGATGCGGAAGTTTCAGGTTGGGCTCAAGGCTCCCAGAAGAGGCCAGTCTGTTCGCGCCTTGAAAGGCTCAGCCAAGAGAAAGCAAGATGTGAAATGTGGCATGTCAAATGCAGCACGTGTATCATATTCCTGCCTTGTCAATCAATGCTTGCATGTGCGCGGAGCTTCCTGCTTTGGGACATGCGCTGGCTGGGTTGGGCTCTGCGGATGGGGCTACAGTCATTTCTTTGGCGCATTGCTCGCAGGCGGCATTCTGAAGCCTGAGAAGGGCAGCACGGCCACCTTCAACCTCGGTCATGGCCAGATTTGCACCATGGAAGGCCTGTTGCACGTGGGATTTGGTCATTCCTCGGCCTATAGCCCGTGCGTTTGCGCATGAGCGTTTGGGGGTGAGTTATTCCCGGGCCCGTCAACAGTTGGATGCCGACCTAGCAAGCTTACCAGGGTGCTAAACGACCCTGCTGTGCGTAGTGAGTGAATGTCTCGAGGCCTATTTCAAAAGCACTACCTGCACCAGATCGCCAAGGGCACCACGCGGCAAGCACGCATCAACGCGACCTTCCGCTACGTTGCAGAGCATGCCCCGGACTGCCCTTTGCGCAGGTAGTTGCGAGCCTCAGCGAGACACATTGGTGCGACATAGCAGCTGCGGGCAGGGCTGGTCCGGGACGTGCACCGCCCCCTCATAAATAAATTGATGCCCTTGTGAGTGAGCCGACTGTAGCTGCACGTTTCAAAACATCCTTTTAAGCCTTGAAGTAGATCTTGGACTCTTCGGCGTGAAGCCGAGTTTGGTGCAGGCCATGATTTACATCTCCCTATATGGAAGCACTCCGCTACAGAATGTCGAGGCTTTTTGTCCACATGAAACCGAGCAGGTGATTCTTTGCGAGCCACATCGGCCATGGGAGAAAGCACCACCATTCTTTCTGCAAATGACTATTCTGCATCCGTGTTGCTCATTAGTGTTGGTATGTTCCTACTTGAATCATGGACACTTTTGCTCCCCGGGCAAACATATCGCCCCTCAGTATGGTTTTGTACGTGCGTGGCCATTGCATTCCTTGTTTCGCTAGCATTCTGTGGTCCGCAAAGGTCAGGGTGACGAGGGAGGTAGCAGACATTGAGAAGGGCTTGGCATGAGTCCGTGGAGTGTGGGCTTGGGAGCTACTACACTTTGCCTTGCCCGTGGCCATGTCGCCAGTGTGTTGTCGCCCCGCGTCCCGCGCGCGCAACTCACGAGATCAGGTTCTCACAAGGACATTTGTGCAGCATAACTTGGAATGGCAGCCCCTTTTCATCTCTTAGTGACTGCGAGTCAGGGACCTGTAGAGTTCCTTTCTCTTACTGGGAACCCGTGACCTCGTGAGCGGCGACCAGTGCCTCGTGGCGCACTGTGCGCGTAGATTGCTTATGCAGGCTGAGCCAATACTGTTCCGAAGCTCAGCTCTTTGTGTCTCTTGGGCCCAAGAATGCATTTCCATAGTGTAGCTGCTGGCCAGCTGGCTTGCAGACTTCGAGACTTGCAGATGCACATATCGCAGTGGTTGACACTTGGATGGGTTCATACCCTTGAATTTGAGCATCGCATGTGCATGGTTGTGCAGGTCAACGTGGGTCTTGGGCAAGGGAATTGATTTTGTGCATAGTTGATTTGATGTGAGTTGCAAAGCGCCACGCTGTGCATTCAGCTTTGGAAGCAGGAATTCCAGCATTCACTGCAGCCGGTGCTGAAGTGCCAGGAAGCTTGCATAGTTGGGCAGGGGCCATTTTGGGCCGTTGCATGGATCTTCCAAGTACTCCCGGACCCAAATCCAGGTAGATGGGGAAAGCGCTCTCAATAGATACTATGTTTCCCCATCAGGACATGGCAAGGGAACTGGAAGGCCGCTTTATTAGAAGGCTATTGTCGAATTCTGGATGCGCAGGTTTTTGACTGCTATCATTGGCCACCATGTCTGCAGTCTAGGCAGGTGATATTGCAGGTAGGGGTTACAAAGTGGTTGTTGCCTGTCCTCAGCTGGTGGCTGCACTACTCAACGCAACTGTTTCTTTTTCGTTGGACCGCCTTCGGCGAGAACACCTCATCTGGCTATCTTCGGGACCTTGTTCAAGTAGCTTTCATCTGGAAAGCCTGCTGGTTGAAACCGCATGTTTCCAAAGCACTTGGGCCCTACACCGGGGTTGTGTGCAAACTTAGCTGCCTGGAGTCGGCCGTGGCGACACCAAAAGCCACTCATCTGGGCGCTCGCGTCGAGAAGGCAGGGACTCAGTGCGAGGAGTGGGGGCCGGGGGCGTGTAGCTTGTGGGCTGGGCCTAAAGCTTGTGCCTAAAGTCTTCAGTAGCAAAGGTATGCAGTAATCCCTTCCCCCTAATAATAAACGATGCCCCCCCCCCCCCCCTCTCCCTAATAAAAAAAATACCCGGCCTGCAAAACAATTTTTATTATTAGGGGTCCCCTGGTTCTGGAGGGCAGGTTTTGGAGGTACTTCTTCTTCTGTGTAGGCTTGTTTGCAACTGTGGTCCCCCTGTTCCGTTCCGTAAAATCGCTTCAAACGCACATTTCTGAGTAAGGAATTTAAGTAGCGGGAGTTGAGGTCACGTTTTGTTGTTTTTGGTTGTGGGTTTTGGGTAAACGTGTTCCCGGAGCTCTGGCTTGAAAGTCGCAACTTTGTAGTACAGCCGTGTAAAGGAAACGTGCTCCCGGAGCTCAGGCTCGAAAGTCGCAACTTTGTAGTACAGCCGTAGTAAAGGAAACGTGCTCCCGGAGCTCTGGCTCGAAAGTCGCAACTTTGTAGTACAGCCGTAGTAAAGGAAACGTGCTCCCGGAGCTCTGGCTCGAAAGTCGCAACTTTGTAGTACAGCCGTAGTAAAGGAAACGTGCTCCCGGAGCTCTGGCCTGAAAGTCGCAACTTTGTAGTACAGCCGTAGTAATGAAGGAAACGTGCCCCCGGGGTCCCCCTAATGGGGCTGGATTTGAGTACGGGCAGGAAAATATCTACTTTAGAATTGGTTTAGTATTGGCTATTCTAAAAGTAGTATTCCCTGATTTGGGACTTCCGAAACAAATATTTATTATTAGGGAGACCTTTATTAATAGGGGGAAGTGATTACTTAGTAGAATGACCTTCGGGCGGCACCGTCAGCGAGAGGGGAGGAGGGGGGGCAAAGCTCATGAAACACTTGTCAGCCTTGGGCACACACATGCATAACTCCCTGACTTGAAATCTGATAATTCTCCGCTCTAAGCTTGACTGGTTTGCAGCTTGTCATAGTGCTATCCTGGGGGCTGCTGATATTTTCATGCCTGATTCTTCCGTTTATACGGTTCTGTCAGTTCCATGTCATTCGGGCCTCCATTTTGGGCTTGGCCAAACCTTGCAACCCGGAATCCATGCAAGCCATGGACTTGAGTATTTTGGAGGACCGAACCCCAAACAACCTTTTCGAGTTGCGCTTTTGGCGTTTGCCAAAAGCTTTGGGAAAGCAGAGCCCATGTTCTTCTAGCTTGCTTGCAATACTTAATCCAACAAAGGCCGATGTGAAGTTGATGCTCGCAAGCGCCACATTTGCAGGCAACTTCCAGCCTGAGAGTGGGGGCTATGATAAGTGCGGCTGGTGCAGCTGGCATTCTGCACCATTCTGCTTGTGCAAAATCAGCGGTGCCTTGCTGCCGAGAGCCCTAAGCCTGTTTGCAAACGGTCAGATGGCCACATTTTTTCAGAGCACTTCTGACTTGAGAGTGGTTGCAAGGGCCTTGGCCGGGCAAGGCGCCCTTGACAAATGCAGCGCTTCTCTGGCCAAACGGACGGCATTGTTCCTCAGTCCAGAGCATCGGCCAGTTGCCTGTTCTGCTCGAATATTTCAAGCGGCCTTGCTTCCTGCCTGGAATTTCCGGATGCAGCCCATGAGCTTGCCGCCTTGCAGGCACCGCTTGTGTCACGGGCGGGCCCTCATGGCTCATGGGCCCCACGCTTTGTCGGTAGGCAGGAAGCAAAGCGAATTCAACGCCACATGGCCCTGGAGCCGGCCAAATAGTCGCCTCTCGCGGGTTTGGCAAAATCAATCCAAACCCGGACGGAGAGTTTGCGAGGTGAGCTCCAGGGCCGAGCTTGAGTCGCCCGACATTGGCCGCGGCCGCACAGGAAAATGCCTGAACTGTGAGCTTCCACGGAAAGCCTGATGGCGCATGCGCTGATTTGTGTGGGGCACCCACTGCCTCATGCAAACCTCCTGAGGGATCCTTTCACAGTTGCGCTGATGATCACCTGTAGGCATCCATGAGCGGCGCATGGAAATGTTTTCCGCGGCTCTGCTCTTCCCGCTCAGCACAGGGACCCTGGTGTGTTTTGTCCCATAGTTTGTGGTCGAGTGGCCTCTGCATTATCTTAAGAATTCCTCAATATGCGTTTGAGCACTCTCATCGGAATCCTATGAAAGGACATCAAGGGAGAGTTGGGGGTATGCTTGCTCAGTATGTCGGAGCGTTGGCTAATGCGGCGTTATTTTTCCTGAGGCATAAAAACAAGGGTTCGGGGAATCCGCACTTCGCCGAGGCGCCTTGTGCAAGAGTACAAGGGGGACCTAAAGCGGCAGCGCGCGCATGCCGTGGCGACCTTGGCTTTTGCCGCTTCCGTACTGTACCAGAGTTAAAACCCTGAGCCATGCGAGTGCGACCTCCTTTTCTTCATGCTGTTCACATGTTTTTGCGAAATCGATGTTTTCTTGGCTGGCCCTAGCACGAGCACACACACACACATATACCGAAAGCACGTGATAGGCCACGGATCTAGTCCTAGTGGTCGTGCATCACTGTTTGGGCATGGCCCCCCTCGTGATAGCTGATTAGAGTTGTTGGAAGCCTGCCATCAAGAGGCATGGCCGATGGTAATATGCGTTTTTTCGGGCAACGTTCTTTGATACCGTGCCAATCAAACCCTCTTCAAAGTGATGGAGTCATTTGGCCGGCCGACTTTGTCCAAGACAAGTGGCCTTCAAAGTTTGGGCCCAGGTGGTGGAGCTCACTCTGTCACAGTGGGAGAAGGGCCAGGCCAAAGGCCTCATGGTGGCAGCCCCAGTGCCCGCCTGCGTGTGAGCAGCACCCTTTTGCAGCCTGCCGGTGGCGTTGCCTTGCTTGGCAGTATGTCCATTTGTGGGAGGACTCTTTCTAGAAGAGGGTGGCTTCAACAACTGTGGGAGACATGGGCAGGCCTGTCGACTTCAGAAAGCCTTTGCTGCTGGGTGTCAGCTGAATCCCTAAGCATCGCTATGATCTAGCTTCACCTGGATGGTGCTCGAAGCGGTTCTGTCATAACCCAGGATCATGCGTACTTGGAAGGTGCCAGAGTTGGCTGAGGCAACAGTTGTCAAGGACTGGCACAAGTACACGGAGGCCAGAAAATTGCTATCTGAGTGCCCAGGAAGCTCGGCACTTCAGCTGAGTTGAACTAGATACATCCGTCTCGTTTTCAAGCAGAGGGCAGCTTATCATATGGTTTGTTGTCAGCGCAGGGCATGAAGGAATGTGGCCATACCCATACTGATGTTTTTCAAGTGTTGCTGCAACATTCACAGATCCCCCTTTGTTCGCAGCTTACAGCCGTGTCG